AACGTCACCCCAATGGATCATTATTATTTGTGTTTTTAAAGGGACCCTTCTATGGTTTCTTTGGGCGTACACAAGGAAATACAAGCATGAGTTCTTCTTTCTTTGTTGTTACACAAAAGGTAATGTCGTATACACTGTTCTGTCCTGTACCTTTTTTTTTCCAGTTACTGCTGCTTTCTATTTCTGTCTGGAGAGGGCTCTGCTTTCTGTGGCTGTAACAGCTTCCCCATTTGGCAACGCTCGAGTAGTTTTCCTTTGAATGGATGTACCGCCACTTACTTAACCGGGACCCTACTGAGGGCATTTGGCCGGCTCCCGAACGTTTGCTGAGCTCTCACTGCCGATGAAGAACCTCGTGCATTTGTTATTTCTCGTGTGTGTGAATTGAGGCTTAGCATTAACTCTTAGAAGTGAAACTGCTGGGTCAAAGAATCTAACTGTGGGGTCCAGGAATATACTCTTTCTGTCGGTTTTTGGTCAATAACGCCAAAACGTCAGCCCTTCCTCGGGCCTGGACTAACTTACCCTCCAATCAGCCTCATCTGAATGGCTGTTGGTGTCTCTCACCCCAGGCTCCAGACGGAATGTTTCCAAATATCTGGACATTTTCACTTTTGGTCTTTCTTTCTGCAACTTCTGGATTTTGAGTCAAATGACAAGAGCCTTCTCAATCCAAAAGTATAAAATATTTGTCCATGTTTTCTTCTAGTATTTTTATTCCTTTGGCTTTTATCCTGGTAGAGGGTCGAGTGATGACAAGAAGTTATTTTTTTTTCCAGAGGGCCACCCTGTGGTCCTTATGTCACTTATTAAAAAGTCCTTCCTCCCTTTGATAATTCGAGGTGTCATCTTTATCATGCACTCAGTTCCTGTATGTCTTTGGGCAAAACGTGTTCTATATGGATGGTGAAAAATGGGGAAAGTACATCGCAGGGGAAAGGAATAGAGACCAGGGGAATGAAACTAGGAAAACCCTGAGTGAGAAGATAATATTTAAGTAAACAGCTGAAGGCAGGGAGGTGATTGGAGACCACACAGTAGGTGCTTTAACAAAGCTTTTTGCCTCTGAAATCATTTGGGATTGGGATCAAATCCCAGCCCCACTCTGTGACCATTGGCAAGTGATTTATTCATCCCATACATCAATTTATTCATGAGTAAAAAACGAAATGATAAATATAGTACATACCTCGTGGGATCGTTCTAAGAATTAAATGAGATATTTTTAACTAGCGTAGCGTTAAGCCCAACATATTAAGGGTGGTCATTTTTCTTATTACCATGGACATTTTCCTTCGCGTTATACATTCTCGAATGAATTCGTGGCTACAAAATATTCCATCACGTGGTCACAGGTAAATCTCACGTGTTAATATCAGAACCACGTGCTGCTTTATTTACCTATTCCAGACTTTTTAAGGGGTCTTCATCCTTACTCTTCCAGCACTACTCTGTAACACCTTTTTAAACACGTTTTAATCTTGACGTTATGGTATAGTCACGTAGTTGGTGTATGGTGAAGCAGAGCAGTTATCGTCTAAAACTCTGTGTTGCCAGGCTGACCCTTTGGTAGCGAGAGCAGGCTTTTCGAGAAGATTTCTTTCTTTGGTCCGTGCCTGTCGGTACTTTCAGCTCGTCAGCCTCTTCAGCTCCAAGTCTAGAATGTACGAGGCAAGAAGGAAACCCGGGAATTTCCCACCAGGTTGTTCCCTGGGTCCCCAGCTGGCCCGCCTGCTCCTCCCCAACTTTCGGGATCCTTTGCGTCCGTTTTCCACCTAATGCTGGGAATTTTCCACTGCAGTTAGCGACGGAGCGAAAAAACGTGTGTATTCTCTGCCTTCCTGGAAGTGGAAGTGTTATGTTCTTTTTGTAAAAGGCAGTCTGGAAAGAAAAATAGTATTTCAAGAAAAGGATCAAGTTCAAGCTCAGTATCAAATTGAAAAAAAAATAAAACTCTAACTAAGAAACAGCCCCAGGGAAACAAAACACCTGTTTGCAACGAGCCTGTCTGGTCCCCGCGCCCCCGCCCCCGCCCACATTTGCCGTCCAAGGCCTAAGACGTTGCTGCCGCGGGGAGGCCAGGGAACAGAGGTTGCAGGCTTCCTCGGATGCCTGGGAAGGTGCCCCAGGGCAAGTGAGGTAGCTGGGGGGGTCGACCGTTCCTGGAGTTCTGTGGAGCTGTGCCCCCTCGAGTCAGAGTTCCGTTCCTCAGTAAAGAAGTTCTAAGGGTCGCCTCTCCCTTGCTCAGAGGAGTCCCATCCTGGCAGATTTTCCCTGCAGGCCACCTGGTCCATGTAGCCCCGACCTGGTCCATGCAAACCCAACGTGGTCCGTGCAAACCGAACCCGGTCCGTGTGGACCCACCCTCATCTGTGCAGATCACCTGACATGATACTGATTCATTCCCTTTTCAGTGGACGTTACTGTTTTCCATATTGTTTCCAAGAAGTTCAGTAAATGTGCCCTTGTGTTTAGCCTGGGGATCCGGGAAGAATCACGGCCTCTTGCCTCCCTTAGGAAGTGTCCCGTCTGGGAGCAGGGCGACCGAGGTGCAGGTCCAGCCACTCCCTGTGGCCTACGAGCTGTGAGACCGGAGCCGCTCAGAGCAGCTGACGCAGCCTAGGGGCCAGGGGGCCTTCCAGAACTGATGCCACCCCCCACGTCCCCACACGCAGCTTCTTAAAGAAGTCTGCTCCCTTGTCTTCCTTGGAGTCTCCCTTGCAATCCTCACTGCCCGAGTCATATGGTACATGTAATGGCATATTTGTATTTCGAGGGGAGTTGGAGAGTCAGCTCTCTCTCACTCCCCCCCCACCCCAGCAAGCAACCCACTGTCAAGCCCACAGTCCCCGGGAAACTCGACTGCCTGCCCTGGACGTGTTTCGCGTGCCACCTGCCACCCCTACCGATGACCCAAACAGCTTTGCAGATCCAAGGTCATCCCTAGAGGACCTTCCTAGTGAAATCTTGCTCTTTAGTTTCTTTTTTGCATGAAAATATTTATAGGGTTATAAATTTTGCATACTTCTTGACATAGAAATATCACTTCTGGAAATTTACCCAGAAGACATATAGAAACGCATGCTTGATTGAAAACACTGTTTATAACACCCTAGATATAAGACCATAAGCGCCGTAAGTGCCAATCAAAGAGGACACTGGGCGGCAATGTCACAACTGGCCAGTGGCGCGCCGTGGGGGCCGTGAAGTGGATCTAACTAACCGTGTTGCCATGGGAAGGTGTCTGTGCTATTTGCAGGAAATACAAATATGTAGGAAAAATGAGCTGACACAGATAGCACCATCCCATTTATAAAAAATGTATTTGCATCCATTCATGTATTACGTAGTCACATGGTGCCTATTTCTTGAATGCCTGCTGTGCGCCCCCGTCCCAGACAGTGAAGGAACAGCAGTGCACCAAGCCGATGTAACCCCTGTCTTTGTCGAGCTTCCGGTCTAGTGGGGGCAGGAAGAAAGGGGCAGATAACCCAGCAGATAAGTAAAAATGTTGTGATAGCTAAGACGGAAAGGGGACAGGGACAGCCTCAGGGATGACAGTGAGGGCAGGAGAGGTGAGACTTAAGACTTGAAGGACGTGTAGAAATTACCCATGGGAAGACAGAGGGGAAGAATGTTCCAGACCAAAAGTCTCGAGGTTGGAAGTAGCCTGTGGAATGTCTGAGAAACTCAAAGGCCGGAGGCCGGAGAGTATGGAGTGCAGGGGGAGTGTCGCACGGCCTGGAGATGCGGACGAGGGCCAGGCCGTGTGAGACAGGGGGACCCTGGCTTCGGGGGCCATCAGGGGCCTTTGGAGGGTGGGCTCTGCTGAGTTAATAATGAATTCGAGGGGCCAAGAGCCCAAACAGCCAGGTTGTTGGGGGGGTGGGAGGGAGGCATTGCAGTCATGGGGTGGGGAGATGGCCGTGACCCAGGGCCACAGGAGGGAGATGGGACAGAACAGGGTCAGAATGCATCCTGTCTCACCCCCGGGAGGAAGAAACCCGGTCCCTGCATCGCCTTCCAGGCACCGATAAACACCCAGACCCTGACAACATTATTATTACTTTAAAACACAAGTACCTGCCCTGGCTGGGTTGCTCAGCTGGTGGGAGCATCGTCCCCTGCTCCAAATGCTCGCAGGTCCCATTCCGGGTCAGTGCACACGCCTAGGGTTCAGGTCGGGATGCATATGCAGGGGGCAACCCATGGGTATGTCTCTCTCCACCCCCCCACCTCCCTCTCTCTCTAAAATCAGCAAACAGATCCTTAGTCAAGGATTAAAAATAATAATGATCATTTTAAAATAAACCATGAGTCCTTTTTTTAATGGATATGATTCACCATGATATAGATTGTGAAAACTCAAATAGACACATCTCTGGGGACCATCAGACTGACATGGGGATCCTCCGCCTTGTTCATCTCACTGCACACATACACTAACTACTAAAACTCTATGGCACCCCAAAAATATCCATTATATTTTTTTGCCAATCTGACAAAAAAGATAGGTATACAATTTTGATGACATTCACAGTGGACGGCTGTGGCTGTGTTTGCTGTTGCCTTTCTTTATGACAATCTCAGGGAAAAGAGGGCAGTGGCCCTGACCTGATTGTCAGGTAGTGCAGGTTTTGACCATGCTTGCAGCACCTCTGCGGAAAATCACTGGACTAGGGGACATCATACACAACCTCTTTGCAGAACTGGGAGAAAAGGGTTTTTGTTTGGAAGTTGACGTGCACGGCTGTTTGTTACCCTTGGGCTCCAAACAAACAATGTCCCTCCAACGAACTGCAAATGCTGAATATGTTAGAAAGAGGGGGAGGGGGAGGAAGAGCCACTCTCATAAGCTCCTGATTGTTCCACGGGCCGTGGGCAGATGAAGTATGGCTGGAATTAGGGGGCCAGGGAGAAAGGGGCTGTGAAGCAAAGATATGACTTTGAGAGTCCACATGCAACAAGTGGCAACTGTGAAAACTCTGGTTTGCTCCTAGGACATAGTTGGAGGCAGAGAAGAGGGACAGGAAGTCACGCCTGCGAGTTGCTCTATCCCCAGGGACCCCGAAGACCTGGATATTGCCAAGGGGGACCCCCAGACAACAGATATAACTGAGAATAATAACTCCATCATGAGCTTCTTTAAAACACTGGTAAGTCGTTTCCTTGCTTTTTCCCTCAATTCTATTGCTCAGAAGTGTTGCTGTTCTAAGAAGGATGCACACTTCCTGGCCAGGGAGCTCAGTGGGTTGGAGTGTCATCCCGATACTCCAAGGTTGTGGGGCCAAGGTTGCGGGTTTGATCCCAGGTGAGGGCACATACAAGAAACAACCAATGAATGCATCCGTAAGTGGAACAACAAATCCATCTCTCTCTCAAGTCAATAAAAGAAAAAATTTTTTAAAAGAAAAGAATAATGCACACTTGTGTGTCACTGCTCTGAGTGACACAGCCGGGACAGTGGAGAACAGTGACAAGATGTGTTTTGCAAGGAAACTGTGTCATGCCAGGCTTCCCATGAGGCAGACTCAGAGATGGGAACCACAAGCGCCCACACTCTGGAATGCGAGCTGGGTCGTAAGGCAACTGTATTGTAATTGAATGGTCATTGCACCTGGAGTTATTAACCTGTCAAAGCAGTTAGACACTCACGTGGCAAATAAAATGGTAGAGACCACTTTCTGTCTTGTTCCAACTCAGCCTCCCATTTAAGTGGGATGGAGGCGGGGACCCGAGTCTCTCACGGCTGGCTCAAATCTCGGACTTCTTGGGGCAGAGCCCATGGCCTGACCCCGGCCAGACACCTGGGAAAAGGGCTGGTGAATGGCGTCGTCCTTAAGCAGACAGCTCCAAGCGTGTCTGGGCTATTTCCAAAGGCCAACTTCAGAAGATAAACCCAAATAAAACAAAAGCATTGCCACAAACACCAAAGGGTTGTGCCTAGGTTCGGATTTGTGGCAAAATCGATGAAAAGCCGTGGCCTCCCAGGAGAAAATGTTGGAATGTGGTCAAATTCTTGGTGAATGTATGAAATCTGATGCGTTTCATTATAAAACATTCATTTTTATTGACTTTTGTATGTCTAGGTATACCAGAAGTCTGGGGGGTTCTGCTCTACTAAAAGGACTTCTGATTACATTCTTTACCTGTATGGTGAACTGGGTCAACCTAAAAACTGTATATCTGTGAAATAAAATCTCCCTAAAGAGCTGTGATTTTTAACCTTTGATTTTCTCAAACTTTTAAGGTCTCACCTAACAAAGCCGAAACAAAAAGAGATCTGGAACATGCGGTAAGTAGACTGACGTTTGTTTATGTTTGGGTTTGTGTACAGAATTGGATTTGAATTGGTGTCTGCTTCATCGTTTCTGGAATTTTGTGTGTGCGTGTACATCCGCACATATATACAGATTTAGCAATTCAGTAGTACCGCGAGATCGTCTTTAAAATGTTTCATTTATGTTCATGGTATTTTAATAAAAATTGTAGTGGGAAGCTTGCAATATATGCCAATTCTGAGAAAATAGTGTCCCCCCGTAACCAATTTCTTGTATAAAATAAGAGCAGAATACTAACAATTATATAGCATCTTGCTTGGTCCTGTAGCTGTCTAGAGAGAGGTCCAGGGAATAGCGTAAAAAAATCAACTTGTGGAAATGAAAAACAGATGAGACTCAACTTAAGGTAAAAGTAAAGGCTGCTCTATTTTTGTTTGTTTTAAAATACATTCTTTGTTTTGCATGTCATTTGAAAAAAAAACTCTCCACTGCAAAGGCAATTGTGTGACAAAATGACATAGTCACCAGGGGACAGGCCACACGAAGGGCCGTGGAGGGGCGTTAGAGAGCCCCAGAGTGGCTGGGTTCGGTCACGGTCATGCCGGAAGTTCAGCCAGTGGCCCTCCAGATGAATTTTGTTTGGGATGACTCCTTTCTAGAGACGTTTTCCATGTACCCTTGACAAAATGTATTATGTCGAGTGGATCACGTGCTTTACAGTATAGCCTGGTGACAGCTGAGTGTCTGTGTCCTTCTTTTGATATCTGGAAGTGCTTTGAAAGACACTGGGGCCCAAGAAGGGGCCTCGCCAGCCCAATACATCTGCCGCCCATGTTTGGGGTGGGGGGCTGGGCTGCGAAAAGGGTCCCACACTTGGTCTCAGAAGACCTGCCTTCGAGGTCCGGTCCTGCTTCTCAACAGCTGGGTCATCCTAACCCGTCTGAACCCTAACCTCCACCTCTATAGGAGGCGACAGTAAAAAGTTCTATCTCCCCAGCCCAGGGCTGAATGAAAGCTGGACAATACCTGGTAAACAGTGGAGCTCTGTTCAAATGCAGACGATCCCTCTTTCTGTCATCCCTGCAAGACGGGCTGCCCCGTGATGTATTTGTCTGTTGTTGACTGGTTCTTCTAGAATATTTTTCTCTTTTATTGAAAAAGAGATATCTGAGGAGTTTCTGACACACGTGTTTTCCTACAAAATTATTCAGTGGCTATAAGGTAACCAGGGTCAAGTTCGATGAATGTTTGGGCCCAATGTTTCTCTTTAGGGTCTGCGTTTGCATTCTTTGAGGTCACAGAGCACGCGAGGCTATAAATAGTGGGGTAGGTGGGTATGTTTTGTGGCTTCCCCAGGGGCCTGATGCTCTCACTTTCTTCAGGGGGTCCCCACACCGAGACTTCCTCCACCCAGAACGTGGTCCCCGCTGAACAAATGGAGCTGATAAAATCTCATTGTCCGGCGCAGAGAGCTGGGGTGTGGTGGGGTGGGGGGGCGGGTGCATCCCTGCAGGTGGAGCTGGGTCTCCAAAGCGGGTTCTGTGAATGCAGGTTGTCCATGACCCCCCATAGACAGACCGCTTGCTACAGCCTTGGCTGTCCTACCTTGTCTTTTTAGCATCTTTGATACTGAGCTCTTGGGATCATACTTTTGAAATGTCTCTTCCCTTTGTCCATCTTTCCATTTGGCCCCTGGAGAAATTTTTAACACAGTTCACACCCCACCGAAAATTCCCTGCCATTTGTAACCTGAGTCAGGAATTCTCAGTGGTGGTAGCTGGGCTATTTCCGTCTAGTCTCTCCCCATTTCGGCTCAGTAGACTGGCTCACGCTAGAAACTTCTTTTGCCTGGGAGATCTGCCCATCTAGAAGCGAGCTGAAATTTTTGTGGGTGATGCTCTTTCCCTGAAGTTTCTAACACTGAATAAAAGGAGGTTCATTTTGGGAGTGAAAGTCACTTAGCAGCCGTATTTGTGCTGACTCTACCATGCGAAAATAAAGCATTTGTCTTCACATATTTTTTTCTTCCCCATGTGATTTAGATATTGAAAACTACTGAGTAGGGGCTATATTATCTTTTTGACTTTCTAGATTTTTCATCAGATAGTTTATGTCATGGAGACGGAGTTTCAACGTCCTGTGATGTCTGTAGCAAACAGAGTTGTGTTGATCTGGGTCATTTAACTAGGTCACCCTGTTGAAAATCCACGGGTACCTGACATGAACTGTGTGCGTGTTCTTGAACAGATCACCTGAGAGTTTCAAAAGGAGACACGTTCACATATGTCTCGGGGTTGCGGGGTGGAGGGGGGTACACCAGCCGTTAATTGTCAAAGCGTTTTAAGGCCCCTTCACCACCATGGGAAAGAATGGATTTTGTTTAAAAACCAAGTTCTGAGCTGTGACTGCTGTTGCCCGAAAGGCGTGCAAAGCACAAAGTGTCTGTGATGGACGAGCCGGGCGGAAGGCATCCGAGGTCTGCACGAAAGGCGCCGAGAAAAAGCACCTGCACAGCCCCAGGCTAGGACTCACCTTTAGGAAGTTCTTTAGGCACAAGGTCTGTATTTTGTGACGCTACGAGGGGCAAAAAAGGAACCCTGGTCTCCGCTATGAGACATGTCCACCAATCCCTGTCCACCCAGCTCTGCTTCCTGAAGCGAGAGCCTCGGGCGGTTGGGACTGCTAAAGGGGGGTTCAGGAATCTGCAGATCAAATTCAAGTGAATGCTTCTAAAAGTCTCCATAGTTACAAACATCTCAGACTAGTTTCTTCCCAGCGTGGACCAGGGTTCTGAAATTTTTCTTCTAACCCAGTATTTCCCAAATGTCGAAAGTATGTATGCCGCCTTCATCATTTTTTTGTCATATATACTATTATTTACTTGATTTTTTAATATTGCCGTTGACCCATTCTGACTGAAAGGCATCTTTTTTTAAAATGTCTTTTTAAAAAGACATTTTTAAATGTCTTTTAACTATATATATATTAACTATTTTTAGAAAGATTACTATATAACTATTTTTAACTATTTTTAAAAAGATTTTATTTATTTTTATTTCTTTCTTTATTTATTTATTTATCTTTTTTAAAGAGGGAAGGGAGGGAGAAAGAGAGAGAGAGAAACATCAATGTGCAGTTGCTGGGGGCCGTGGCCTGCAACCCAGGCGTGTACTCTGACACTCTGACTGGGAATCGAACCTGTGATGCTTTGGTTCGCAGCCCGCACTCAATCCACTGAGCTATGCCAGCCAGGGCTGAAAGGCATCTTTAAAAGAGACTTTATATTGCTTTATACAAAGAAAAGCAGAATCATCCCAAGAAGAAGGCAGCAATTAATATGGCTAATTAAAAAAAAAAGACCTTTCATTCTAGTTACCTGGTTTGTGTTGAGCTCCAAATCAAATGCCCTGTTTAGCTTTACTGGAAGGCAGTTAGCCATCAGTAGAGAAATGGTAAAGACATACCAGCCCCTAGACTGAGAATTTTCCCCCAAATGTTCTTGGAAGGATTAAACGAGAGTTGAGAAAGGAAAAGTATTTTCACTATTTGAACATCATTTCATGTCCTATCTCTGTACAACATAAAGTCACCTCGATACAATCAATGGTATGCTTTCTACACATTGGGAAATACTCTTCTAACCTCGAGATAACAATTTTATCTTTCTGGGGTCTGTTCTATCCATTACCAGCACTAACTAAGCTCCTACTGAACCCACATAAAAATATCTGTTCCAGGCAGAACAGAACAATGAATGGGCAGAACAAGTTCTGTCTCCACATCCTGAACAATCATTTTGGGAGATTTCACTCTTCTAGTGTCTGTGAAGACACCCGTGTTTGTCTGAAACCATCAATTAAAAGGACCCTTGAATTGGGCCAGCAGGCTTAGAAATTTGTCCGAAATATCAGTCGTTCTCCACTAAGTGGAACAAACCTACTAAAAAAAATTCCCCAGCTGGATTCCCAGTCCCAGAATTGTGCATGCAAATGAAAGCTCCATAGAAAATGCTCATGGGTGAATCCGTATTTGCATAAATGTGTTAGGAAGCCACCCTTCAATATCCCTACAAGCTTCTTTTGTCCTGTAAAGAAAGAAAGGGGTAAGTGACAGATATTTCAATTAGAGAGAGAAAGTTAAAAAGTAGTGGTACCGTGTGGGGGAGACAGTTTGGCAACAGCTGGAGGGACAGCAGAGATCTCTCAGGAAGGACTAGGGCTGAGCTCCCTCTTGGAGATTCGGCGAGCAGGGGGCCTTGGAAGTGTAAAGTGACTGCCCCCAACCCCAGATCTGCATTCATGATGACATTCATGTCATAGCCAGAGTCCCCCGGCCATCCCCCCCTTCAGTGGACCACCCAAGTTCAAGAGCCCTAGGACTTCCCCAAACCATTGTCCTCACATCCTGCCACTGATTTGCATGTTCGGGTGGGACAGGATTCTGAAACTACTGAGAAGGTGGAGAGGAAGTGTCCAATTCTGAGATTCCATATACAGATACGAGAACTTTTGAGTTTTGCCTTGAGTTACACTTAATCTATTTTTTTTACGTAAAAGTCAAATAAGGGGGCAATTCCCAAATGTTCTTAATTCTCATTGATGTAGCAGTTTGGTAGCTCTCACTGGCTCTTACCTCCATGTCTAGGAGAGTTTATTTATTTTCATTTTATTATCCTGTTGCCCAAAAAGATGGGAAAATAGGACCATTGAAGCTGACCAACCATATTTTATCAATGAACCTTGTGCATGATTATAGGAGATGTGATTCTCATTCTTCTTGTTTCATTGAAACCTAGGACAGAAAAGAAGAAATCCAAAAAAAAAAAATCAAGAATGAAATGTTACCTTCTAGTTTCGTTCTTAAAAAAAAAAAAAAACAATGGTTACCAATTCTGGTTAATACCTAGGTTCATTTCTCTATGTCTCAATTTTCCTTCCTATAAAAAAGAAGTTTTGGCTTAAAAAAAAGTGGAGAAGCCTGGAATTAATAAATGAAATAATTTTATTGTTATAAAGCATAATAAGGGTGTCAGCTTTCCCGGGCTGAATGTGAATCCTTTTTTCTCGGTGTCATCACATGCAGCGCCTCGGGGTCAGACATTCTCACATGTCCCCCAAACTCTGGGTGACAGCACGCACACAGGGCTGGGCATTGTTTGAGAATGTTTCTTCCATGCCTGAAAATGCCCCCTCCCCACTTGGGTCCTCCCAAGGGGGCTGACCTCATTTCCATTTCCAAAAAAGAGTTTGGTTGAAGTCGACCATCAATCCTGCCGATGTCATTCCGGTAGATGCTGGATTGCTGAATGAGCCCTCGCTGTTTTGATCCCCAGTCTGTTGCCTGGTTACTTACACTTCAGGTGCGGTGGTACCCTGTCCAGCTCGTGGCTTCCTGGGCGTTGGGCTCAGCCCATTCAGCCCAAGCCACGTGAGGGTTACAACACAAAAAGCCCCCGCATTCTGAAGTTCTGGAGTGTCTACCTCTCACTATCAAAACGCACACAAAAAAAAACATAGCATGTGGCTTCAAATGGTCCAATTCATGTTACTTGCAAACCACCCTTTGGAGAGGTGATGCGCTCTGTGGCGACTGTGCCAGCTAGGAGCCCAAGTCCAGCCCAAGCTGAGGCTGGCTGTGCCCCTTAATTACTGTTGGGCAGATCGTGGGCCTCGGGCTCCCCGCCCACTAAAATGTGGGCATTGGACCAGAAGGTCTCTACGTCTCTCCCCAACATCAGAAATACTACAAAACTTCCTGAATTTTCCACACCTCGGTTTTACTGCTAGATTTTTTTTTCTTGTCGTCTGAAAATGTAGTCAACGATCGGGCGTCTCTGGAATTGAAAGAGTTTATGTCACAAGCTCCCGGAGCAAAAATCATAAAATGGAGATTCTTAAGATAAAGAGGTTGGGGCAGGTGAACGGAGTTTTACAATCTGTAACGCCAGTATTCGCTCGCGTCCGGGCAAACTGACACCAGCATTATGCTGACTCTTCCTTTATCCCAGACTCGGGAGAAGGCAGAGTGTGGGAAGTGACAGCCCTGTCACAGAGGAAGCCACAGGTCCCAGAGTTGGACCTCAGCATGACCGCTCCGCAGGGGAGAGGGAGAGAGCGGAGGAGGGAGGAAGAGAAGGGGAAGGGGAAAGGGAAGAGAGAGAAAATAGGGGTTGAACAAGTGACGTTTGACGTTTTAAGCCAACTACAATTTATTCGATGACATCTAATTTAGAGGCAGAGGCGACACCTAAACGTGCAGAAATGGGGTTTGCGGGTCTCTCCCAGCTGTGGACCCTGTCGCCGAGTCCCCCCCCCCCCCCCCCCCCGCATCCAGCTGTCTTACACTGACTCAGCGCCTCCATCGGTGACCTCCCAAGTGGAGTGTGGGGGCGGGGGGCGGGAATTGGAGAAGGTATACTTTAAATTGCATATATTTTAACCCTTCTTTAATGGCACAGCTGGGTTAGTGCAACCGTACTTGTCTAGAATGTTAACAGACAGGCCTGCAGCAGCGGAGGTGTGCGGTCACACCGTTTGTACCGAAGGGAACACAACCCGTCCCCAAAGACCAGTGGCCTCCACGGCAACTAACATTCTAACAGCCTCTTCTGATCGCCTTGCCTCCTAATGGTTTACTTACATCAACACAATAAATAATGTCCTATAGATACCATCTCCAAAAATGAAACTGTCTTGACTTTTTCCAAGACTTGAACACAGATCCACAGTCCTAGTGGCATGTGTGGAAAATACGGAAACATTCAAAGAATAAAATGAGCACGCATAACCCCCAACCTATGTGTATAAGAGACAGAATTTTGACTTTTGAAATCTGGAGATCATTTGGATTTTTTTTTAACTCGATAGGGTGCTGAAAATTCACCCACCACGTCAGCGGACCTCAAGTCAGACAAAGCCAGCGTCGTGCCCCAGGAGACCCCAGGGGCAGCCAAGAACCCCGCACCCACAGACACGCCAAAGGAAGGCACCAAGCAAAAGGGGGGACCCCCCTCCCTGCCTCTGAGCAAACTGTTCTGGAAAAAGGTAAGTCCTATTCTCAAGATGCGGAGAGCGCTTGGGATGGCTTGAGCAATGATTTCTCTTTGAGCCCATCTGTGAATTCAGCAATGGCTGGAGTTTCTTTTTCTCCTCCAAACATGACTCAATGATAGCCATGGAGTGGAAGTCGTACTGATTGACTCCTGGGAAGGATGAAGCGGTACAAACATGTGTTTCATGGGAAAGGAAGGGAAATGAGCAACCAGAACTTTTTCATTCTTGGAATCACTCTGCCTCATGACAAAGGGCTGTGGTATTGTGTGATTTCATTTTCTTTCGAAAATCAGTTCTTACGTATTCCGCCTGGTTTCCCCTGAGCGCTGGGCTCTCCATTTCCCCAGCCAGATACAATCAGCCCCTAGAAGCACCAGATTTCGTTGCCGTTTTGAAAAACCAGGGTGTCCACCCAGCTTCCCACCGGGGCAAGCGCACGCCGCCCTCAGTGATAGGAAAATTCAAACCACAGGCTGATTTTTTCTTCCTCTCTAGAGTTAAGGAGTGGTGCAAGGAAACGTTTTGGGTGGGGCTGAGTCATTCTGAGAGCGCTGGCTTGACCATCCTTGCTGAGTGAACTCCAGCTGCCGCATGTTCCCAGGTCCTGCCTGTCTTCAGTGTAGCCAAGAGATGAGCAAGACGCTGTGGGTGAGGTGGGTGGTGCAGTACAACTCGTAGAGCTGGGAAAAGCGAATTTAGTAATTTCATCACAATCCATGCCCCTGGGCCCGCAGGGCTGGGCAGGTGATAAAAACAGATGCCAAGGTGGAGCTGGTGTATTCTCTCGTCAGGAATCCAGCGGGACCTTCCCCATGTGCTTCCCGGCTGGCTGTCTGGAATTCTCCCCGCTCGGTTCTGTCCAGAAACAAATTCCAACACGGTGAAAACACTGGGTGACGTCATTTGGCATTCGGGTCCAATCCTCTTCCCTCCCCAATCCCTGATGACTTATCTTTAAAAATCTTTTATCAGCACTATGGCGCGGGAGACAGTTTCCCAGTGAGTCACATACATATGTGCGCGGCAAGGGAGATGAGTTAGGTGACCCATATTCAAACGGTTTGGGTTTTATTTAAATATATTTACGTGTAAAGTATATTAGGCAAAATAGAACTGGCACAGTAAGCTGAATTTGACATATATTTTGTGTTTAAAAAGTAACCCAACTAAAAGGAAAGCGTTATGTAAATAATGGTGCTGATGTTAAGTAAGGCGTGGTAAATCTGGGTCCTGCAGAAGCCGACACCAGGACGGAATCGAGGCGCAGAGGTTGTCTGGAGGGAAATGAGTGTCAAGGACAAAGGGCAGGGGCAGGAGGAGGTAGGGAGAGCCTGCCCACCACAGGGCCAGTCTGAGACCTGTGACCTGTCACCTGTCAGCTGTGACCTGTGATGGGAGGGAGGGAAGAAAAGGGGAGAAGGTCCCTCAGCCCACGTGTGGGGTGAGCCAGAGGGAGTCTCAGAGCACACACAGCCTGTTCCTGGAGTCCCGCACTGGGCAGGAACCACTGGGCAGAAATGGCCCCAGCCTGGACCAGGAGCAGCCAGGCAGATCACTGACCTCAGCATCACCATGCTGTCCTGGATTATGAAGGCATGACAGCCCTAGGCTGTCCCTACAGGGGACTCTGAGTGCCACGCTCCCATGGCCGCCGCAGATGGCACGTACTACACGGCCAAAAGCGCACGGGAGGTCGGCGAGGGGCGGATGTTTGAGGAACCCTTGTGTCAGGGTTAAAAGTCTGGCGTTAGATCTGACTTCGAGTCCCCGTCCACTGGGATGAGCCTCCGCTTCCCAAGGCGTACAATGCAAATACTAACAGCACTTGCCTCCTGGAAATGAAGCAAGGGTTAGATGAGATAACAGCGCGGCAGGCACAGAAGTGGCTGGTGAACGCGGTCAGTCGCTGTTGCCGGGCGTCATCCACGTGGCGTCATCCACGTGGCGTGGGCTCAGGAGGCTGAGACGCTGACCAGGCCCACTTCTGTATCTCTCCGTGCCGTCCAGGTTGGCGAAGCATCCAAGCTGCTAAGCCTCGAGGTCTTTATCTCTCTCACCTTTGGGATCCGTCAGGGGTACGTGGGGGTGTCTCTGAGATTTAAGTTTCTCCCCTTGCACATAAAAGGCCGGGCTGCTTGATGCCTGTCTCCCTAATAAGAGAATCCCACTTATTGCGGTTGCACTCTGTTTTCAACATTATCTGGCTTTATTTCTTCCGTAGCTTATAAAAACAATGTTAAGAGAAACTAAAAAACTACCTCACAAGACGAAGTCACGTCTTGCCTTCTTTTCCCCAGTCAGAAAGAATGCCTCTGTCTGGCAGTAAAACGGGGAAGATTCGCTCGTGTGAGAATATTTCCGATTGGCTTCTCTGTGCTAAATGCTTTGTGTTAAGTAACTGGCGTCAACACGGGCAGGTGGCTGACCTCTTAAAGTGTACAATCTTGTGGGAAATGAAAGGGACGGTTTGTTTTCTTTTCCTTCAACCAAGTTTTAGTGATTAAGTCATTCTTGTAAAAGTTTTGAAAAAGAGAGAGAAGCGCAAGAAAATTCTAATGTCTCCAGTCACTAACCCCTAGTCCCAGCTGCCCCAGACCTGGGATCTGAGCAGATTCTCTCTGACCGTGTGCCGGGCAGCAAAGGAGAACAGGAACCCGGCCTCTCGCCGTCCACATTTGAGTCCTTATTCTAACTGCATGTTGCAGCCACTGCCGACGTAAAGGCGACACACCGAGGTCCGTGTGCAGACGTCCCCAAAAGTGCAAAATGAGTTTGCGTGGTTCTTAGACACCGTCCTAACATGGAATCAGTCGCGTAGTGTGAAATTATCTCCTTTTCTGTCCAACTCCAGTCCCACTCAGAAGCAAGTCTTTTCTTGATGTGAACTGGCATCTCTCCCTGCGCTAACACTGGCCAATCTCCCCTTTTAACAACGACTTCATAATAATTAGAATTAATGAGCGTTTTTGTTTTAGTCACTGGAGCTGTTTCTTGCCTACTTCTGCTTACGGCAAAGGATGTTGATATTACAGTCACTAGAATGAGGTTTTCTTTTTAAATATGTTCATTTAAATGAAAAAGTAGTCAATTTAAAGAAAAGTATCAAGTAAACAGAGGGGGCGTATGGGCAGGTAAAAAAATCGTGAAAATCGTGAAAACCGTCCAAGTTTGAGAAACGCTCCATTGGACTAAGTCCCCAAATAAGGAATGTTTTGCTGCAGAGTATGATTTTAAAATATGAAACAGCGAGTTCTCTGGGCACAGACAATTTTTATAATGCCCATTTTCGAGACATCAGAGAGATCTGGAAGTCTGAGACCATGAAGGTCACAGGAACATCAGTGCCCAGAAGCAGCCCCTTCTGCCTGTCACCGTCACCCACCCCAGGTCCCCAGTGTCGTCTGGGATACAGCGAGCAGTTGATGTCCAGGAACTTTCCAGACACAGGAAGCCAAAGACACACACGAGTCCCGTTACGACCAGCTGGGAAAGGAGGGAGGCGGGGCAACCTGAAAACTGCTCTTCTGAAATGGTGGGAGGATTTTCCCAGCCTAAAGTGGACCGTTTATTGACCCTTGAAACTTCTGCAGGTCAAGTTGAAGGAGGCCTGCCTTTCAGAATATTGTCTCATTCTTTACCTGGTCATAATATTAAACAGCATGCAACTGGTGTCCAGGAGAACGGGCCTACTGCCAAGGAAGCTACACTTCCGGATGTTCTGGGATTTCTTGACAGTCAGAAGCTTCCAGAAAGCCCACACTTCTTTTCAAGGACGTGTTTGTGCCCAAGTAAGCTTCTCAGTATGAGAAGAAGATCAATGGAAATAAATAATCCACAGAAAAGACCTCATCTAGGGAGAAAGCAAATGCGGTAGTGGAGAGAGAAGCCCACACCATCACACACGTGCCCCGCCCCCACCAAAAAAAAAAAAATGTGTTTCTGATCCTGGAAGTCATTATGGCAGAAGGAAAACTTGGTCCTAAGAACCATTTCCACCACCTTTTAGCGGTACCACCTCAGACCAGTGACTTCACCCCTCTGTGCCTCCGTTTCTTGCTGAGTAAATGGGGATCACCATACTTACCACTGGGGGCTACGTGAAGCAAGAAAACACACAAAGAGCCGAGTGTAAAAGATGTATTTGTACATGTCAGTTCCCTCCTCCCCTCCCGCTGGATGGTTTGAAGGTAAAGATAAAAATAGGACTTGGAACTAAATAGAACTAAACTCTCCTAGGGAAGAGTTCTTAACCTAGAATCCAAGAAAAGAGGTGCAAGAGTCTATGAACACCCTGAAATAATTTCCCAAATATGTTGTTCATGTTTATTGTCTGGGAAGACAGTCTATATCCATCAAATGAATCTCCAAGCAGTCTGTCAACAGCACCACCCCCCCCCAAAAAAAGTTTAAGAATGGCTACAGGATGGATGCAGAGAGGAGTCCCAGGGCTGGAGCTTGGAACTGTTAAAATGGTCTTGGCATCAGCTTTTGAGAGAATTGGGATAATTCCTCTCCTATCTGGGGCAGGACAGGGAGTAACGGTGTTTGAACTTGGATGTGCTGGGCCCCCGCCCACTACCCCTCCAGAGACGTGTTTTAACTGAGTGCAGCCTTGACACGGTGAACTTGGCCCCACCCGAGGGCTGATGTAAGAAGCAGCTTCTGATGCTGGACTGTGCTACGGTCAGCACGAGGCTGAGGACCCTGCTTGTTAGTGCCCGCTTGCTCTCCGAGGACCCTGGGATGAATGTCTCTGGTCCTGCTGCCAGGATTTTCCTGAGCAGCCCACTTGTTTTGACCTAACAGTGCCCGCGTATCGCGTGATCGCTCGTAGTTCCCTGGTTCCGTCAGCGACTGGAAAATGTCTGGGTGCACGTGTCACTTACAGCCCGGAACGTGGTTCGTGTCTTCTGCTGTGGCCCCTTCCCTCGCTCCATCCATGTCCTGGCTGCATCTGGATGTTTGCTTTCCCACCATAGCACCTGAACACACATAACATATACGATCTCACTATATCGTTTATAGTTGTGTGAGCCTCCTTCCTTCACGTTCTTTTTTGGAACAAGACACGCACATCAGCGACGTCCAGGAATTGCGCCGGGGGCGCTGTTCGCCCTGATTCCTGTAACATTCTGACTCTCGCCTTTGTTTTTGTCTCCCCTTCAGTCAAGTAAAGAGGATTCAGTCCCCACAGGTGCAGAGGAGCATGTAAGTGACACATTCGATGGCAGACTCATTCCATCCTCACCCTCTGCATGCTGCATCTCGGCCTGGAGTCCCGTGCCCTTGCATGCTCCCAGGGCTATGCCCCCATCTGCCGTAGACTCTTTCACCCTTTTGCGGGACCGGGGACCGCCGGGGAGTGGCTGCGGATGGGTGTTCGCAATGCCCATTGAGTCGCTGCAAACTAAAGGCAAAATCGGCACACACGCTTTTATGACCTGTTGTCCTTTAGGGGCTGAAAGAGTCTACTAAACATAGGAACATCCTTCTACTGCCTTCGGGGACAGGGATGCCGCTCCCTCTGCCTCATTCTGCTCTGACTGCTTCTTTCACCGCGATGGGCCTGACAGTGCAGACTCTCTACTAACTGCGGGTGGTACCCAGGCCAGGGAGTTGCCCCAGGCATGAGGACATCTCGCTGCAATACACGCTGACACTCTCGGTCCGCGAGTCGGTGCCTGAGAGACGGAGGTTCAGCTTCCCCGTCTGTTGGGCCTTTGTCTTCTAGAGCAAAGGCCAACGCTTTCAGCCAATGCACTCAGGTCGGAAGGGGATGGCTCCCAATGGGACGCCACGAAAATGCCTCTTTTCAGAACGCCTTCCAGAGAGTGAAGACATTGGCCTCATGTGTTTCAGACCCAAACAGCCGCTCTGTGCCCTGAAAGAAGTGGAGGGTCTTGGGGCTGTTTGATAAGGGGGGCTAAAGGGGACCCACCGGCCCTCGAAACAGAGGCTGATCGCTATCGTTTTGCCAAAGCAAAATACTTCCCACTCCTTCTAGGTGTTTCTTGCTTACTTGCCCAAGATAGGGCTTGTGTTTCCATTTTCACTTAGTTGCTAGAACTGAACAGATGTTGAAAATCCAAGTACGTTCCAGAAATACTGTCTGTAGTGAGGAGTGGAAATTAGAATATCTATGTTACAGTTCTTGTTAAGATGAAGACCTTTGAAACCTGCTTCATTGTTGTCATTGTTTAGCCATCTCTTCCCCCTCCCTCCCTCCCTCCCTCCCTCCTTTGGTTTTCCTTTGCTCCCCTCCCTCCCTCCTTTCCCCCCCATCTCTCCCTCCCTCCTTCCAAGCTTCATAGCTCAGCAAAAGCCACATCTCTCATAATCCCACAACACTCTCATCCATTTCCTGCTGTACCTGGAGAGTCCCCATTCTGTACACCTGCAATTCTGTGAGCCTTCCCCCCACAAACTTCACATTGCAAGCTGCAGGTTCAGCCTGCAGCACCCATGAGCTCTGTGGTCCTGAGAAACATTTTTTGCAGAGAAACTTCCTTTGGATGTTTGCAGTTGGCAGCTGCCTGTCTCCCAGGTCTCTGGGATGCAGTGTTAATCTCTAGCGGGCAGATTTCTAGTGTGACATGTAAGGCAGAAACAGAAACATGAATGAAATCATTGATACCAAAGGTAAACACAACGACTGCTAGAGAAATGAAAGAAAGCCGAATATTTTCTCAAGAAAATAAAGAAGCATGATAAACATTGCTTTCAATTGCTTGGCCCCCAGAAAGAGTGCTTCTGTGTCTAAGCTTTAGCATTTCGTCTCCTAACTGACAGCCCGCTAGTTGGAGGGAAGGAGGCCAAAGAGGGGGTCTCGGCCCCATCACCCCCAGGCTGTGCCACCTCTCAGGCCTCAGTTTACTCATCTCTTCAATGGCCACAGTAATTTTACCCTCCCCTTAGATCTTTGTGACAATTAAGTGGATAATGCACATAATGTCCGTACTTCAGTGCCAAAGCGTAGGAAGAAAGACCTCAGTAATTCAGGGGTCAGCAAACTTCAGCTCCTGGATCAGTTGCGACCCATCATCACCTGTGGTGTTATGGCTCGTGAGCTAAGAATGGTTTTTTACATTTTTGAATAGTTGCAAAAATCCAATGAAGACTAATATCTCGTGACACTTGAAAATTAGACGAAATTCAAAGGTCGGTGTTTATGAGTAAAGTTTTATTAGAACACGGCCCCACGCATTGCTTTGTGTAGAGTCTGTGGCTATGTACATGCCGAACCTGTTGCATTCGGTGGGTGTGGCAAAACCCTTTGCAGGGGAGGTGGGCAGGCCCTGCAGTCTTCTTCAGTTACAATATTAGGAATGAGCGTCCCCCGTAGTCAATAATGACGTTTCCTCCTGAAATTACACATCTCCCAGCTGACCCAGTGCCCACGGGGGGTGTACACCAATTTCTTCCTCCCAAACAAAAGAGACGGCATTACTCCAAACAAGGGGTACGACTCTAAACCTTCACAACTGGACAATGAGGTGTTCTGAACCATATTATGAAAGTTCCTTAATGGGTGACTTTTGTTGGATAAAACATGGTTGAGTTTATTTTGTTAAATTTCTCTACCACAAGTTTCCAGACCAGTAAGTCCATCATGCAATGCAAAGCAAAGGACAGAGAGTGATTTCAACATTCCTCCAACTCTGTCATGAAAAGAAAAATGAGGCCGTTGTTGCCCATGGAAGTTTAGTGCATTCCTAGAATGAACTTCTGATCCTATCAGAAGTAAAACCTACCTGTCTGACCACAGAAGTTATTGAATCTTCCCGTTGTGGGCTGTTAGTTAATTGAGTTAATGTTTCAACTAAAGGGAAAAACATCTTTTCTTCCCAACAACCTACTAGAACAAGGAAACACGTATTTCTGTTGCTTGTCTCTCTCAGTGAGTAAGCTCTCAGTTCCAAGTAGGAAAAAAAACTCAACCTGGATTAAAAAAGAGAGTGGCATTTATTGGCCGTCATCACTAGGAAGTAGAATTCATTTCAAATAAATCTTGGCTCAGCCTCTCGCTTGGCCCAGCCTTCCTGGACTGGCTGTAGTTTCAGGTTTCCGACATCATATCGCCCAGTGCAGAGTAAGGGGGGGACTGATCGAGTAGCAACCCTCCCTGTCCTGAATTTGTTCCCTTTCATTGGCTCAAATGAGTTCCCATGCTCCGTTAGTCAGCTTTTGCCAGGTTATGCGGCAGGAACAAGCAAGCCCCAAGTTTCACTGGCTTTTGACAGCAAAGATGCTTTTTTCCCCTTGCTCATGCTGCATGTCCGCTGTAAATTGGCTGGGAGTGGGGGTCCTCATGACCTCTTCCTACTGAGATGTAGATGGAAGGAGCAGCCCCTTTGACAAAGACATACAGTTGTAGTGGCAGAGAGAAAACAGAGCCTCGAGTGAAACTTGAAACGGCTCCAAAAATGTCCATTCAGTCGTGGTTTCCATCTCGTCTGCTCACGTTCCATTTGCCAAAGCAAGTCACGCAGCAGTGAGCACGGCTGTTTAATTCTTTTACAGGAAGAGGCAGTGAATGACCAGGAGAATAATGCATTTTGTCACATGCCGCCGCCCCTGAACCCATGCGGTCAAGGAGCTAGACTGTGTGGATGGGCTTAGACTTGCTCAACTGACTTCATCCAAAACACATCGTCTTCAAGTTAGGGAGGCTTGCCTCCCCTACAGCCAAACTAGTGCTGCGAACAGGACGAGGGAGAAGAGCTGCTGGGTAGAAAAAATAAAATCTCTACAAGGTCTTTGCAATCAAATCATCATGCTATGAATCAAATCAGAAAGAATCTAAAACAGATTCTAAAACAAAAACTTCTACTACCAATATGATTACGTCGTATGTGAAGTTTAAGTGGAGGAAATTGATCTGGCTATAAATCAGTTTCTGAAACTCACAGCTCTAGTAAAAGCTGTGCAAATCAAATGCATGCTAAGAGTAAGTATGGAATAATATTTGAGGCAAAAAGTGAAAATATCTTTTACCACAATGTGTATCATTGTGCAACCTCTGACTTCCCCTACTGACATCAAGCAAAGGGGATTTCATTCTAAATTAGAGCACAAATCTGATTTTAATTATGTCCATTAAAACATGCAGATGCCATCATTTATTCTACACAAGGAACAACTTTTTCCAAAGCCATGGCCTGGAAGGAAATCGCAAAACTAGCCAAATAAAAATGGAATTCTTATGTCTCTCCATGCAAACGAGCTCCTAATTTAGCTCAGATCCTTCTGGATTTCCCCACTGGGTTTTCCTTGGCTGCGGAAAGCCCACCTCTTGGGAGTCCCTAAGAATGGACTCTGGTCTAGGAGGTATGACCAGCACCTGTCAACCTTAAGAAAGACCAAGCACCTGGACCACTGGCAATCCGATAAGGTTGACTTATGAAGGTATTGCCATAAAATTGGGTCATTTTATTATGTGAGTAGTTTTCCCTCCAGGCCCTTGCACACATGAAACAATGTGCTGCTTCAAAGACAGAATAATTCTGAACCAGAGACAGTCCGTCCGTCTCTGTTCGTATTTACCCAGGGAGCTTTCTCATTTCTCCACCTTTCTTTCTTTGATCTTAGGCAAGGCTGGCAACTACTACCCATGTCCCCAGAATTTGATCGTGATTAGTCTAAGCCAATAATTCCATATTCTTTACCAGTAATTAGCCTTGGAATAAAAACGTGACCCTATTTTTGGCCAATGAAATGTACCCTGAGGTAGGGGATTCAAACACAGAAGTTCATTTGCAGCAAATCTTCGCTGTGATCTTCCTACCTTCTTAGGACAGTGGGTGAAGGATGTGATGCCTGGACCTGCAGCAGCTACTTTATATCCATGAGGTAGCAGATAGAAGGCTAAAAATCCAGCATGCCAAGGATGGCAGAGCCAAAGGATAGGAAGAACCCAGGTTCTTGGAGAAAGTGTGGAGCCACGAAACCCATCCCAGAACTTCCAACTTTGAAACATTTTGTTTCATATCATTATTGACCAAGTCATTATTAGACATCTAGTTACTGGTAGACAACTTCATCCTCATTGAAACGGCTACCTACCTGTGGTGTGACTTTGGCCGGTCACTCAACCATTCCGATTCCTTATCTGTAGACAGAGATAATGTTATCTGCTCTTACCTCCGAAACTGTTTACTGAGGTTGTACATTAGAACTACCTTGCACAGTAACGGGTAGTTATTAGTGTCATCTCTAAATAGTGCACAGGCGTACTGGGTGGTTCCAGATAATCCGTGCCCATGGAGTGGAATACCCTTCATAACAGCCCCAGCAACAGGCAGTAGCATTAACTAAGAGTTTCCTGTGTACCAGGCACTGTTCTAGGAACTTGACATGTGTTGCCTGATTTGATTCTGGGAACAGCTTTCCAGTGTATATGCTGTTCCCAGTGAGAAATGAGAAAATACAAGCACGGCCCCATTGAATGGGGACCCTGGCTTACTCAAAGCCCCTGTGGGGGGCAGAGTTGAGATTTAGACCCAGGCAGCCTGGTGCTAGATGCTACGCTCCTGATCACTGTGTCAGCTGCCTGCATTTCGGGCTCCCCCCAGGGCCCTTGCGGCTGACGCTTCCTTCTCAGAGATGCAGTGGAATTAAACCGGGCCTGCCCGTGGAAACCCATGTCCGCGTCAGACCGCCAGGCCCAGGCTCTCATGTGGCTCCAGCGTGAGCCTCAGGTCTGTGCCTAAAGCCAGGACCAGGCCACACACCCTGCGGCAAAGCCTCCTCACCAATGTGCCTTATTTGGCTGGTCCAGTGCTGTGATTCTTCGGGCACCTCCAGGCACAGCGACTTGTCCTTTGTTCTGTAGAGTCCCCAGTGCTCCCTTTTGTCTCCTGTCTCATCAGTCCCGGCTGAGATCACCTGCCGAAAGCCAGCTTCTTGGTTCCTGGGGACTTTTGAGCATGTCACACCCCCAACCTAGATCCTTGTCTGCAACTCGAAAATGCTAGAGGTCGTGTCAATATTTTAAGAAACAAAAGGTGGGGAGAGACAGCTGGGACCGCACTGCCTTATTTCGGGGTGTCCCTGCATGCTGATTTGCTGATGGGCAGGCACCTTCCTGCTTCCGCTGACTATGCAGGGAGGAAGGGTCGCTCTCCCTGGGATCGTTTGGGTCATATACAAACCAGCGGTGTATTCTGAACTGAAGGACAAGAAGGCGGTTTCTCCACGAGCACACTGTGCTTCTGGAGAGAAGTCAGTCCCCTCCCCCTACTCCCTGACAGCAAGGACAAGGGCCCAAGGAAGCTGGGCTCTGGTCCCGGGAGAAACTCTGAGGCAGGGAACCGCAAACCCATATGTCAGGGGCCAGACAGCCCATCCTTTAGACTTCACAGGCCACACACCGTCTCCGGTGGCTGTTAAAAAATTGTTGACAACTCTTTAAAAATGTAAAATCCATTCTTAGCTTGGAGTCCGTCCCCCAAACAAATTCAGGGATGGGTTCGGTAGGGGTTCGCCAATCCCTGCCAGGGCAAACAAACAAACAAACAAACGAACAATTGTGAAACCCTCTCCAGGCCAATTCAGGCTGTCCTATTGCAGGGGCCGAAGCAGCTGCAGGACCTGGCCCAGACGTGGGGCCATTGGACAGGATCTGTGTCGGGGTCAGAGTGCAGGTGACTCGGACCCCGGGCCATGTCCCATGCCTGCCCCCCTGTCCCACCACAGACGTTCAAGGGACACTGAGACCACTGGATGCTTTGCTGGGGGCCATAAGCAACTTAGCCAGAGTTTGCATGCCAAGTTCATTTCTCTTCTGAAAGCATGAACTTCTGCCAAGCAACAAGGGCGAATGACTGGTCTGGGGTGCGGTGGGAAAGGCATTCACGAGGAGTCTATTCCATTCATGGAGTGGCTTTCCCATGATCCTTTGCGCGGGGAGGACAGTCTCTCCACAGCTTCAGGGACCTAAGATGTGGAATGAAAGTTGTCATGGTTACCATCTCTAAAGCTGGACCCTTAAGACAATGATTACCCTGATCTGCACGCAGGCCAGGTGTCCTTTACCTTTACGAGGACCAGGGGGGAGGGCCTTCTAGATGGAAGGAGCTTTGAGCATGCTCTGAGGGGCAGTCCCGAAAAGGGACTTCCTGTCTGAGCCCTGTCCCTCCGTGGGGCTGGAGGCTTGCCTCCACGGCCGTCTGTTTGACAGTTGTTCAGAAACAACTCTTGGCGGTGAGAGCACCTCACCCATCGTGAGTGCTGCTTCTTGAAGACACAGCTGCGCCTCCGTGGAAACGCTCCTAGACGCCAGCCTGTGGCCATTGGGTGCCCAAAGGGCCAGCCGGGACTTTCTCAAACAGGGTTGGGGGGGATTTTTTTTTTCACTGTCTCATTACCTGGCAAAACAATCCAGGTGGTGTGTGAATCACCGGTAGAGGCTGTCAGGTCCGAGGAAGTGAACTCAGCCCTACAGACGGTGGATCTCGGCGCAGAGGGGGGGGCCAGCCCCGAACCCACGGAAGGAAAGCTCAGAAGAGAGGAACGCAGACCGCCGAGGGCCTCCCTGATGGCGTTCCTCAGACAAATGGTAAGCCGCTCGCTCGCACGGCCGAGACGCTGGAGAAGCTGGCGCGGCTCCCGGGAGTCAAGCCCCATGTCACGCGTGTGTGACGTGTCCTTGTAGATGGTACACATGCACAGGGATTGTGCAGGGAGAAAAGTCCCTGTCACACCCCAGATTCACTCCTACAGAAAGTCCCAGTTCCTTGCTAATCGTTCATAACCTTTCATTAACCTCTGCTAACTCCTTTTTTAACAACGGAGGGGCCGGCCTCGGGCCCCGGGGGTGGGCCGACAGCAGTGTGCACCCAGAAGTCAACAGCGTTGCCTACTTTCCATTCTCTTGCTTTTTAAAGAGTCCCCCTGCTTATGGCAAATAGTACTGTTTTTCTTATTCTGGCAGTTATATGCCATTTCCTGTGAAAATACACTTGGTGGCAAAAAGAACACAGGCAATTTTAAAGGGTTAGGTAATAAATAGTCGAAGTTGCAGAGTGAGGCTGGGAGAACCCTGAAGGTGAGGTGAAAGCGCCACCAGCGGGGACGGAGCTGACTCGTAGATGGTGGAAATAAGAACACGAGAACGTAACTTCCTAGTAGTGACTAGTGTAACTTCGTGGGTGAACTTGCCACGGTTTGAGTTTGTCTAGAGTGGAAACAATGGGGGAACACCACATCTTAGGGGGTCTCTGAAGAAGAGTCACGCATGTTAATTATCTAAAGATCCAAGAACTTAAGTAATACAGTGAACTAAAACCCAAATCGGTCAGAAGACGAAACCCACAGATGCGTATGACGCGATCGGCACGTTCAGGATCATGTGGCCTTCCCCCAAAAAATGCATAGAAAAGGTCATTGGCTTAATTCTCTTTTAATGAAAAACAAGAACTTCATTAGAGCAGGCCTTTGTTTTCAGGAGTCTTTGGGAATTTAATCCTTTGAGAGAGCCACTGTAACTGCCCAGGCCCAACCTGGAAAGGCGTTCTCCCTGGCCCACAGAACCACACCGAACACAGCACCACCCCGGCCAGCGGGAGCCGGGGCGCATTAGAAATAACGCCGTGAGAAATCGCTGGCAGGCACCCTCTTCTGCCCTTGCTGGGCTCCCACGGAGCAAGATGCGTAGGGCGAGGAGTGGGCGGCCTGTGCGCCTGGAACCCCATCTCCATTCCTGGCCATTCACTCTGCAGGTTGGCACCGAACACGGGGATCGGGACTGGAGATTTTTCTTTAAGCCAACATTCGCACAGTGTCAGGAAAGAAAGCAACGCTGGGCCTGATTCTGGAAACCCATCTACATTACAAATGGGATCCCCAAATAGCTCATCATGGCGCTGCATGTGGTGCCGCTGTCCCGTGTTTTGAATAGAGTTGAGAGAGACAATAACAGAATGGCTTTCTCCTCCAAATAACCAGCATGATGCTTTTCACGTGAAGGAGAGGAAAATACAAGAGGCTCCAAATAAATCGTGAGACACATATAAACCAGCCATTCCCAACAAACTCTCCCATTCTAATGAGGCCCCATAGCATGTCAATTCACCCTCCGGAGCTATCCATTAGGTGTTGCCTGGTGATGTTTCCTAGCAGTGGAAACTGGGGAAGTCTGAACTGTGAGGGAGACAAAACTGGAAACCAAGGGCCTTTGGAACTGATATTCCATAGGCTAGGGAGAGAGACAGAAGAGGACACATTTTTCCCAAAGCAGGCTTCAGTGGGTTCTTAGTGCCAGGCCTCCCACTGGCCATGGTTCCTATTGCCCGACACAAGGCTGATGCCTTAGAGCTTGAACATTGTTTCTTTCGATGCATAAATGCCAACGTTCCCATGATTTGGGGGATTTCCCCTAAAATTCCGGATATCCTAATAATGATCCTTGTCATGCATTCTGTTTTGTTTTCACTACAACATTATATTACTATTGTGGTTCACTCAAATCCATGAAAGACATGGGTTTTCCAGTTTACTGCAATCCCCACTACTCCCTATTATCACACCGGGCCCAGCTCACTCGTTTATGTCCCTGGCCCTATCCCTGTGGGTATTGGAGTTTGCAACCCCTGCCATAGAGCCACCTCATTCTCTGTAACAACTTCATCGAATCACATTGTCTGGATGTATCACACTCTGATTAGCCACTAGCTCTACTCATGGGCAGCTGATTTGTTTCCAACTTGTTGCATGTCATTCATTCCCTTATTGAACAAATAATTATTGAGCACCCATGTTATTCCAGGCACTAGTGATACGGCAATGAGCATAAACAGACCTGATTCTCAACCTCCCAGAGAATAAAGCCTAATGCGGAAACCAGACATTTACATTTAATTCTCCACCATATTCAGTGAGCACACTCGTGTGTCTTCCACACGAGACCGTGGCTGCCGCACTCACCTGCGGGAGCACCCCTACTTTTATGCCTCTGTGTTCACATCCCCTTAGTGTAGGCTCCTGGAAGTCAGCTCCAGCAATTAATGTGAGGAAAGACGTTCAGATTACATTTCATGGCCTCCAAACTAATCTAAAGTCTTTGCATTTATGCAGGAGCGGGGAAATAACTGGTGTAAGGGCTTGAAAGGAGAGACAGGCTCTAGTCCATCACTATGGGCTATTGATCGATTGATTGATTGATTGAGCAAAAGAAAGGAATGTTTCAACTGATTTTACATATTGCTACAAAATATAGTTTTTTTTAAAATCATTGATTTAATAGAAGAGAAAACTCCATGGCAAAGGCACCCCCCCTTGTTCTGCAATCTGTGTCTCCATTCACCAGATCATCGATTTTCTACCTTCCCGTCTTTGCCTCCCCCGCCCCCCCGTTTCCCTCACATAACCGTGTTCACTATCCCATGACCAAGGAACTCTTGGCTGAGTGTTTGTTTTTAATAACTGCATTGCCCTGTTCATTTGGAAAGAGAGCTTTTCCATTCCAGAAATGAACCTCGTCCAAGTGAAAAGAGGAAGAAGAGCGTTGTTTCAAGTCATTCCCTTCCAGGGAAGAGAAAAGAGGGTCACCAAGCCCTTCCGTCACACCGGGCTCAGGCAGAGAGAGCGGGGTGCAAAAACCCTGTGGGCGCCTACAGATTTTTGCACAGTAGTTGCAAGGCACAGCTAAGGCATCTGTCATGCCCTAAATTAAAAAAAAAAAAAAAAGATTCCTCTGTGCGTTAATTCAACTGTATGTCAAGAAATTGGATAGTTGAAGCGTGAGTGTATTTTTATCAGGTGAGTGGGTGGAGAACTGTATTCACGCACCCACAGCGCAGGTAGGCAGATGCACGCGCGAAGGCGTTGGACGGGAGCTTGGAGATGCAGACGTACCATTTGTCAATATTAATAGCACCTTGTACTGGGAAGGTTCGTTCCTCCTCCGAACTGGTGCCGCATACGTTGTTAACTTTCATCCTCCTCCGTCCTCCTTAGACTGTGAGTTGTGTAAGAAATACTATTGAGAGAAAAACGGTGGGCTTCAGTATCGAGCAAAGCCAAGGCCCAAATAGGGGGACAGCCATGAAATTAGAGCTTTTTGTTGATTGCATTCGACCTAATAAGTCTAAGAAAACCTGTGGAAACTTACACACTCCGGAAGCAAACAGAGACAGCGGCTCGTAATGGTCATTATAAAACAGGAGATTCCGAGCCGAAGTTCTCGATCTCCACTTCTCCCCTGAGTGAGTGTTACATCTCAATGCTGAGCCGCTCTCGGAGTAAGGGTTTCTGAAAGCAGCATTTGTCTGGGTGGTTTCTGTCCCCACCAGTGCCTCGCCTTCCTTCCTCCCCTTAAAGGGGAATCTGCCCTCTCAGGTATTGGTAGTAGTAATGATAATGTCTCCCGCTGATTCCCTGCATGCAAATGGCGTGGCTGGCACTGTGCTAAGAAGCCCAGTGCATGTATCAACTCACTGATTAATATGGAAACCCTGTGACACGAACGCTCCTCCCGCCCCGCTGCACAGATGGGGGCAGGGGGACTCGGGGTCTAGGCCATCTATCTGCCCAAGGTCACAGAGCTGCTAACTGGCAAAGCCGAACTCAAGTTTCTGTTGATTCCAAAGCCCCGCCCCCACCCCGCACCATGTTCTCATACGTGAGTTCTGCTTCCTGTGCTCCTGGGGCTGGTTTTCTTCGAGAGCACAGAGGGAGACACAACAACCCAAGCTCCATTTCGGCGTGCCCTTCTTAGTCGTGTGTCCTGTGCAAACATCATTTTTACGTCTGGGGCTGACCCGACATTCCCTAACATTACACTCACTTGACATGACAAGGCAGAAGAGAGGAATTACTAATCCAGCACCGACAGGAAGCTCGGGCACAGAGTTCGGAAGGTCCTGTCACTCCAAGGAGACTGACCTCCGCTGTGCGATTTTGTCTGAATTGTCCAATTGCATGTCTAGTGAGCGTCTTGGTAAAACATGAAGTCTGCGCTCATAGCTTTTGTTTACCCTGGAAACGTCTAGCAGGCCCCGTCCCCTGAATTTGTTGGAGCGAGGCTGATCTAGTCAACGCTGTTGCCGACGTCCTCACACTAAATTAAAATGGCACCCCCACTCTTCTTGTGAATCTCAGCTTCAGTTGGATTAGACCCCTGTCAAAATACATTTCCTTTTTTTTTCCTCTCTCATATTCAGCCTGTTATTCCATTCAGGCCGTCAGTAAATTGGATAAGGCTCCTTCCTCCCCGTTGGCGAGGACAATCTGCTTTACTCGGTCCACCAATTAAATTGTTAATCTCATCCAGAAACAATCTCACAGACATGCCCGAAATAACATTTCATGGACTATCTGGGCACCCCATGGCCCAGTCGAGTTGACACATAAATCAAAACACATTTTCCTTCCTTCCAAGAAAATGTCAACTGACCAGCAGACATCTCCACTGGAATTTTGAGTCTCTAAGAAGTATACGCATTGCAGATGGTTCAAACATTCCTCAGCATATCAAGCTGCAGGAATGCACGACCCCAGAAAAGAAATAGAAAATGACGTTATTAATATGCAAGGCTTGGATGTCACGCCCCCGCCCCATCTGCATGCCACAGGCCGGACATCCTGACCTGCTTCCCTGGTGACACTCGGGAACAAAGATTAACCCCATGCAGAAAGTTGTTCAGTGTCACATTGGAAAATTGCCACAATGACTTCACAGCCTCCAGACTCTTCTCCCAAAGACGCATCTCTGAGAGAATTTTGGTCTCTTTCAACAGGAGCTCTGCTATTTCTGACAGCTGGAAAAAAAATAAGTTTCTATGGTTATCCTCCTTTTAATACAGATCCCGGCAGGAACCAGCCTAATCTGTCTCTGAAAGAGAACTCTGCCCAGGGGGAAGAAGAGAAAGAGACAGAATACAAAGGAGAGAGGGAGGGAAGAGGGAAGGAAGGAAGAAAGGAAGGAAGGAAGAAAGGAAGGACCACTAAATGTCACCAATGGAAGGCTTCCAATGGTTTAATTTATTCATCTAGTTTTTCCAGTTTTATTGAGATGTAATTGACATATAGCACTGCACGAGTCTCAGGTGTACAGCATAAACACCTTGTGATCACTTACACACCTTGTGAAGTGATCACCACACTAAGTTTAGCTGACATCCATCCTCTCATACAAATACAATAAAAAGAAATCGGGGGGGGGGGAGAAAATGTTTCTTCTTGTAATGAGAACTCTGAGGACTTTTTCACAGCGTTCCCTTACAGTGGTAGCTGTAGCCATCATGTTGTACATGGCATTCCTGGTACTTAGGTATCTTGCAACTGGACGCCTGGTAACTTATTTACTTTACCACCAGACGCTCGTGTGTTTTGACCACCTGTTTGTTAATTGATTCATCCATTCAATATGTTCAAACACCTCCTGGTTCCCACATTGGTATTTTCATCATCATCTATGTATTCCGGAATCACCTAACCCCGGAGTTTAAGACTTTTGTGGCTGTTATTTGGGGAGGCCAACACTTGAGTTTAATGAGACTCTGGGTGCAGACTGCGTGGCAATTGTCTCGTTCACACACGGCCCACTTCCACGCGGTCTTCTGTTTGTCTCGGTCAGAACCTCAGCGACGAATGGCCCCGGCCACCCCCTATCAGACCTTCCTTCGCCTTCTCCGTGTCGCTGTGCCTATGGTAGCTGAAAGGCCGTTGTCTGTTTGTTATTTTAGTCAGTGAAAGGGGATGGAGGGACCACCCGCTCAGAAGAAATAAATGGGAAAGACTCCAGCTACCAAGTAAGTGCCCGGCGAACTCGGCTCGGTGGTGGGTCTCGCTAGCGCGCTCTCGGTTCTTTCCGGCCTGTTTCCCACGCGGCGCCCCACCGCGCCGGCTCTCCGCGCTGCGCGTGCACGGGCGCCCGGCACTGCCTCGGGCTCTGCAGGCGCGGCGCGGACGAGCCACAGCTCCTCGGCTGTTTCTTACCACGGAGCCCCCTCTTCTCCACGTGGAGAACTCCTGCCTGTGCTTTAAGTCCTGACCGAAACGTCACAGAGGGAAGACTCGATTCTGCAGGGATTTCCCGCGTGTCCCAGTCTGCACTTGGCACACAGGTCCCCACAGTCTCTCTGGAAGAGTCACCGCTGGCGATGATATTCAACCAGGGGGCCACCCGTGTGCCCGGGACTTCCCTGGGTTTAAACCTGTGAGTTCAGTGTCCCGGGACCCTCTCACTCTCAGACCAACCAGGACGATGGGTCTCCTGACGTTCGGCATTTCACCTGGGCCCGATGCAGGGTCTTACAGATGTTCCCTCCCATTGCCTGGAGATAGGAGTTCTTTACCGCCCCCATCCCAGTGAGGAAGCTGAGAGAGGGGAGTTTATTCCCGGTCACACGGCAAGGATGCGCGAGCACTGGAACCCGGTCCTTTGCACTCCAGATGCTAAGCTCTTAACTACTCGCCGCATCCTAAAACCTCCCACGCATCAAAAGCAGTTACCTAGCTGTTGGACAGGGTCACTGGTTTCTGGCCCTGCTGAGGAGCATCACGGTGGGAGTCTCCGGCTCAGTCGGAGATGAGTATCTATCTGCTCTGCTCAGGGCTGACCGTTGTACTTGAACATCTGTATCTTGGTATTTGCTACAACGTAGGCAGCTGGGACCCGGCAGAAATATTCACAACAAGTGGTTGCAGAACAGCTTTTCCTGCGCACTGGCTGTCTGATGCTTCCCACGAGGAGTTCTGCCCTGCAGGGGGGGTGCAGCCTGCAGGGACCTCGGACCGACCAGAGCCTTCTCTGTCTTCTCACTTCCCTCTAAGGGGTGTGCTTAGTCCACGGGTGTGAGTGACCGTTCTCTGCGTGCTGCCTTCTCAGTGAAACTGCCACTTTGTCCTAGGATTCCTGGGCCTGGGGACAGTACATACTGTATGAACCAGAGGCTCTAAGCATGTATCCAGTAGGTCAGACATGGCCCACAGGGGTACTTGTACGGCGGCTACTTGCCATGAATACGGCTTTAAAACTTTAGAAGTCAATATTTAAGAACGGACACATTTTGCATTGACAAATTTCAATCTGAAGTTTCCGTTGACAAGAACAGCCCTGACAACGCTGGGCTGGAGTCCCACCCAGCCCATCTCAGCTGGGTTCGAGCAACTGTTTAGACGGGGCCTGGGACCTTCAGTTTACCACAGTCCCCCCTACTCCAAACTGTCTCGCTAACATCAAAGACAGCACTGCTTGAACTAGAGAAATATTTCCTTGGCCCTGTGTTGGGTTCACAACTGGAGGAATAAGGTTCCCATGGGATTACTCTTATCCCTAGCCTTGGCCAGGGTTTTATTTTATCTGCCTGGCCCCCACAGGCATTTCAGTTCAAGCAAATTGTGGGAAAAGGGCTTTTCCTTCCTCCTAGATTTTTTTCATTATCTGTAATTTGCCCAGCATTTTCTAGGATTTTGGATTTTAAAGCCTTATCCCTCCAAATTGTAGGGACCAAGTAGGATTGTAAACTTTTCGCTTTGACGTGAAAGGATGTGAGTTCAAAACTAAAAATAAAACAATAATCATCTTTATCACCGTGTTATGAAGCAAAAGGACGAATTCATACCAGAAACCAAGGTAGACATAAAGAAAATTTATCCCCAAGAAAAAAGTCACATGTGGTTGCCAAGGAAGAGACCCTCTCAAAACTGGTGCAAGCATGGTGGGCTTCAGGAACAGATAGATCCAGGGGCGCATGCAACGCCATCAGTATGCCGGCTCTCTCCCTCTCTCTCTCTCTCTCTCTCTCTCTCTCTCTCTCTCTCTCTCTCTCTCTTCATCTCTCAGCTTTCCTCTGTGTGAGCTAACGTATAGAGCAGATTTTTTTCCAGGAAATGGCAGTGTCTCTGGAAGCTTCAGGCTTTTATCTTTAAACCCAACAGAAAAGGAGCAGAACTCTCTTGTGGTGCTTTTAGGAAAGCTTTGAGAATAGCTCCGTTTTTAAACTGTTAGCCATCCTGAACCAACCACAGCAGCCCGATCACATGCAGCGTTCTGATTGGCCAGGCCTGAGTCACGTGCTCTTGTCCAGGGCGACAGTAATCACTTTCCCTAAATTTCAAGCAATAGACGAGAGAGAAGAGTGGTTCCCCTAGGAAAACCGGGGTTCCAGTACCAGAAGGAGGAAGAATGCCCTCTAAGAAAGCATGAAGTTATTAACGAGTGATTCGGTGAATAAATAATATCCCCTACTGTGGCCTTGTACCGTAATAAGTATTCGAGTATTTATCTTTTTCGGTTTTTTTTTTCCCCTTCATTTCACCCAGGACTCACGAAAACGTAGACACAGCGCCCCACACTGAGCACCTCTGTTCTAACGCTTGTATCCACCCGCTGTTGAGAGTTGTCTTGCAGCCCCTAAGCCGCATTTTGTTTGCACTTGCCGCAGACCTCCGACTCCTCGGAGAGGGCCGTCGCGCCGGCGGAGCCGGAGCCGGCCGGAGCCAGCCAGAAAGGCAAAGAGGGCTCCTCGAAGGACAAGAAGACGCCGGCCGAGACCAGCAAGCAGAAGAGCAACAAGCAGGAGGCCAAAGAGCCGGCCCCGTGCGCATGTGCGTGTGCGGAGGCCGCGGGGGCGGAGGCCGGCGCGCTGCAGAACGGGGACAGGCCCCCAAAGAGACCCGAGAAGCGGCGGCAGTCCCTCGGGGGCTTCTTCAAGGGCCTGGTGGGTGAATCTTTCCGCATTTCTTTCTGGGCGCTCCGGCCGGGAGTGTGACTCCCGCCTCCAGGGAGGGGGCCGTTGGCTAGGGGCTGGCCGGACCGTTGTCAAACAGTATTGACTGAGCACTTGCTGTGTGCCAGGCACTGCGGTAGGTGCAGAGGGCAAGGTGGACAGAGGCGTTGCTGCCTGGAGGCGACAGTCGGGGCAGGGTCGATGGGGCAGGGATGCTGAGTCTGGGAAGAGCTAGGAGGTAGAAGGCAGGTGTGTAAGGGGAGGGTGAGGGTGAGGACATGGCCTGGACTTGGACTTGAGAGGGGCCTCGGAAGGCAGAACGTGCCCCAGGCAGAGGGGCAGCAGGTGCCCAGGGGTGCTGGAGAGGCCGCAGAGCACTGAAGGTCCGTCTGTCTAGGAGGGAGAGAGCAAGGGTGAGGAGACGTCGGCAGGGACGGGGGTGACAAAAAGCATTGACGTTTATCTGTGGCCAAGGGGAGTCGTGAAGAATTGAAACCAGGGGAAGTGCTCTAGGCCCAACCCTGCAGCTGGGTACACAGAGGTGACTAAGACGTAGTTCCTTCCCTGCAGGGAAGCCCCGTCAGGGGTGAGCGCAGGTCAGACGTGAAATAATTAATCAACCTTGGTGTTCTCTATCTCTGTCTATTTGGTTCTCTGCTCCCCCGCCCCAGGCAACTGATGGGGCTTTGGGAGGGTAGTGACCTTACCGTCATGGGCAGATGTGCTGTCCTCCCCGGTGTTGTGGCTAGGACATAGCTGACGCTCGTGTTTGCTGGACAGCTGGATGGATGGATGGAAGGAAGGAAGGAAGGAAAGATGGATGGATGGGATGGATGGATGGATGGATGGATGGATGGATGGATGGATGGATGGATGGATGGATGGATGGATGGGATGGATGGAAGGAAGGAAGGAAAGATGGATCAATAGATGCATGAATGGAAGGATGGATGGATAGATGATTGGATGGATGGATGGAAAGAAAGAAAGATGGATGGATGGGATAGATGGAAGGAAGGAAGGAAGGAAGGAAGGATGGATGGAAGGAAGGAAAGATGGATGGATGGGATGGATGGATGGATGGATGGATGGAAAGAAGGAAAGATGGATGCATGGATGGATGGATGGATGGATGGAAGGAAGGAAGGAAAGATGGATCAATAGATGCATGAATGGAAGGATGGATGGATAGATGATTGGATGGATGGATGGATGGATGGAAGGAAAGATGGATGGATGAATGGATGGATGGAAGGAAAGATGGATGGATGGATGGATGGAAGGAAGGAAGGAAAGATGGATGGATGGGTGGATGGATGGATGGATGGAAGGAAGGAAAGAAGGAAAGATGGATGGATGGATGGATGGATGGAAGGAAGGAAGGAAAGATGGATGGATGGAAGGAAAGATGGAAGGAAGGAAGGAAGGAAAGATGGGTGGATGGATGGAAGGAAAGGAAGGAAAGATGGATGGATGGATGGATGGATGGAAGGATGGATGCATGGATGGATGGATGGATGGAAGGAAGGAAAGAAGGATGGATGGGATGGATGGATGGATGGATGGATGGATGGATGGAAGGAAAGATGGATGGATGGATGGATGGATGAATGGGATGGATGGAAGGAAGGAAGGAAAGATGGATCAATAGATGCATGAATGGAAGGATGGATGGATGGATGGATGGAAAGAAAGATGGATGGATGAGTTGGATGGATGCATAGGTGAAATACAATAGGGCACTAGGAAATGTTCCATTACATTTGGGAGAATGTAAATCCTGGCCACTGAGAAGCGTCTGAAGGGCCAGTGCTCAGAAGACGAGGTGACCAAGCATAAACGAGGAGGAGAAACGAGTGAAATCAGACCTAGGACGCAGGGGAGTGTGGGCTGAGCCAGGGGAGCAAGGCAAGGCGATGACACGGACACCTGGCGGGGGGCCAGGAAGCGGGGTCCACCTTCGTGCTGCCATAAAGCCGGGGCAGTTAGGTGGAGCACCCCGCCCTACACAGACCTGGGCATCCATAATTACTCCGCTCCACGAACACCCAGCAGGCAGGGGAAGGTGAGGGCGAGGGTTCCTTTGGCCCAGGTCTGGACTTCAGAACAGCACCTGCAGAAATCCTGCTAGAAGTGAGGGGTGTCAGACCCCAAGAGCCCAGCTTTCCGATGGACGGCATCGTACGGCTCTCTGGTCTCCGTGCCCTTGAGCGCGTGGTGGAGCCCCAGCGTGAGATAGCGTCCGCAGTCACAACTGGAGGCCCCTTGGGAAGGAGAACCCTAGCCTGCAGCTGAGTCCCCGGGGCCTCGGGTGCCAGGCCCTCCTGCAGTGTCCCAGCAGCGGCGGCGAAGAGGGAGAGCGACCCGCAGAAGGGGCGCTGGAGGGAGACTGATCACCCTGGGGTGGTTTTGTCGAAACGCTTGTCTCCCTGCTCAGCTCGAGCTCCCTGTGGAGGGCGACCCCTAGTCATACTTCTCTTAGTCGTCTCCAAGCCAGCCATGCATGTGTGCTCGTTCGTGTGATATTTGTCTGGGGTTTCGCCCAGAGTCCTGGCCGAACCGCTGCCCGCCCAGCCTCAGTGCGCTGGGTGGTGTATATGTGGCATGGGGAGGGCTGCGTTCCAGAAAGGCCCAGAGCCCACAGCCCAGGCCTCCCTTCCAACATGGCGTGCTGTCCTGGTCTCTCTGTGTTCCCGGAGACTGACGCGGCGCTATTACGTACAGTAGGGGCTCGATACACATATGTACACATGTACTATACTGTGTAGATGCTATCCCAGCCTATACTGTGTGCGCTCTGCTCTTCTGCATGGTACATGGCAGTATGTGTATATACTGGGTCATATACCCCTCCCCGTAGTATAATCTACCACTCCGCCCAGACTGTACGCTGTGTATACCATACAGGGGTGTGCAAAAGTAGGTTTACAGTTGTATGTGCAACACAGTGTTCTTGTATTATTTATGAGTTATTGTATTATTCTCCATACAGATGACTGTAACCTACCTTTGCCCACTCCTGTACATACTATACTATACGATGCTACCCATATATGTTACCTATGCTACATAAGATATACTATGGTGTACTGTACTGTAGTATACTTCCTATGTGCTATGCTATATTCACCATATGGATTTATGTATAGCTAGATAGATACAGATATATACTATTCAGTATACACTATCCTATATTATACTATGCTATACTACATTATACTACACAACACTATAGTATAATATGTATTATATAATTTGCATAATGTATAATTATATAATATGTTATATTATTATATAATGCATAGTTTCTATATATATTACACTACTCTATACTATTAGTACTGTACTATATAAGCTTTACTGTGTGTACTATCAGCACTACATGTGTTCTTTACCGTATATACTGCCCCGCATTACACTGTACCGCCCTGCACTGTATCCACCGACCTGTGAAACACGGCCGGCAGTGCCTGTGCCCCTGACCACGCAGCAAGGTGGTGAACCTCAGACCCACTGCAGGACAGGAAAGGAGCTAGACTCAAAGCCAGATGCTGTGATCGCGTTGCTATGGGCCCCTGAGGGGGGAAGAAGTCTGGGGAGGGTGGACAGCCTGTGGTGGCCAGGGTCGGGGGCAGGGCTGACTATGAAGGGGTCTGGGGCATTCGGGGAGTGACCAAACTGCTCCACATTTTGATTTTGGTGGCGGTTACGTGACTATTTACACGTTGGTCTAAGGTCATAGAACTGTGCACAAAACAGGGTTAATTGTACTGTCTGTAAAATGGCAGAAAAAGGTTAAAGGGTAACAACAACAGTAATAACAGTCCTTGATTCATAGCGTTTATTCGACCACATTCAGTTAATAGCTGCTCTGCGCCGGCCCTTGCCAGGCACCAGGGAGGGAGGGGACAGCAGGCGATCCTCAGGGCTTCCGTTCAGGTGGGGAGACCTGAGACAAATCACGCCGTCTCACTCGCGGTGGGTTTTGTAAGAGCATGAAGCAGGGCCCTGTGGTCAGAAAGTGACTAGCCAGGGTGGCCGCTGTGGGCTGTCATTGCGGGGGGGCTCCTCACCCCAGGCGCTGTTCCAAGTGCCGTACAAGCACGAACTCACTTTTTCTCCAAACCTCTGTCCCGGGTGGGGTGTATCGCCCCCATTTTAAAGATGGAGAAACTGACTGGAGCTCGAGGTAGTTATCTGAGACTGCACAGAAAATTACGTGCTAGAAAGTTCGTCACCAGGCACTGGTCAGAAAGTACGTGAGCAGGCTGGGGCATCCGCTGGGAGACTGTTCTCTCAGCCACCCCTGGCAGGCAAGGGGGACTGTCGAGCATAGCACTCGGCACAGAGTAAGTGCTAAATAAACGGCAGTCGCTGCTAATCGATATGATAGCTCTTCATTAGGAAACACTGCTTTGTATTTTTCTCCAGGGACCAAAGCGGATGCTGGATGCTGAAGTGCAAACAGACCCCGTATCCATTGGACCTGCTGGCAAATCCAAGTAAACAAATCGCCACAGTTCCCACCAAGCCCTCCTGCCACCGAGATGCCTCCTCCCCGCCCCTGTCCTCCCCAGACCCGCTGCGCGTGTATATTTTCCCTCCCGATGGCCACCCAATGAAATTCTGCCTGCCAACTAAGCCTGAGCTGTTGTATATTGAGGTGTATAATTTACGTCTCTGGTCCGACCTTTCCTGGTAAATAATTGCAAGGGTGGTGTAGCAGGTTAACTAGGCAGGTCCGCAGAGTCGGTGGGTGGGGGGTGGGGGGGTGGAGGAATGCATTCCGGTTAAGTTACGGAAAATGGCAGGAGCAAGTAAGCTGCAGGAAAGAAATGGCTGCTGGGAGGAATTAAGCTTCGCAGTAAAAACACGGGCTCCTCTGCTCAGCTTGAAGAGGAACGACTATAATATCCGTTTAAGTTCCCGTTTCAAGGAGGGAGGAACAGGGGCTGTGTACGGGGAGGTTGCCAACTTCCTGGAATGGAATGGATGTGGGATGAAAAAACGGGATGAATAAGAGTCGTTTCTCAAATAGGGTCCTTGAACGTTATTGACGAGACGGGGCAAGACTGCCTGGAGAGGGCTTGAACTGATTTGGGAAAACGATTGTTTTTTTTTTTGGGGGGGGGCTGGGTGGCAAGGACGAGGATTACAGCTTCCAAAACAAAACGAATATAATAAATGAAGTTGCAAGTTTATTTTGCAACACAAGGGGGCGCCCCGGGCTCCGTTTTAATCGTGAATCCAGTGTCCGTAACAAAGCTGTGGTCTCCTGTGATCTTACATTATTAATGTTTCTCAGATGGCTGGGGGCTTGCTTCATCTGTTCGGTCTGACACTTATCTCAAGTCTGTCTGTAATTTCCTAATGTGTTCAGGATGTGCTCTGATAAAACCCTCCCCATAACCCCAGTTAATAAAAATTTACAGAAGATTATTCCAACACCCGAGTTTTTTTTTTTAATACTTGTACAGTGGAGTAAACCAGACCATGAGTCTGTTAAAATGTACTTCAAAAGTAGCATACGATTGACAGCTATCACGAACCTTGTATCTTTCTCTGATTTAATGCAAAAATACATTTACATCGAAAGCATCTTCTAATTTTCCACTGTTAAAGCAGGTCTCTCATATCCTGTGTCTGAGATGCCTTTCTCTTCCCCAGTTTAAAAAAAAAAAGATAAAGAAAAATCAATGCTCTTCCTCCAGCTTGTCGTCTCTCCCAGTCCCTCCCAGATTTCCTCGTCTGTGGGCACACACAAGTGCAGACGTGTGTGCAGGTACATTTGCATTTGCATAAAAAGTGCCGTCTCGGGCCAGGCTGCCCAGAGCAGAGCCTGAGACAGGGGTTCATCCCGATGTCTGTAAAATGGGAAGGGAGGAGGAGAACAGGGCTGGGAAGGAGCTGAGTGGAGATTGAGCTCAGCTGGAGCGGAGTTCCCCGATCCCCCCCGGGGGACCTGCAGCATGAATTGCACCCCCCAGCGGGTGCTTCCTTGAGCCAAGGGGGCGGGCGTCTGTACCCTTGTGAGTGAGTCACGGGCCACCCTGCGTGGTGGTGGTGGAGAGGGCGAGCCGCCTCCAGTGCGCTGAGAAGCTGGGATCTCTTAGCCAGGGCATGCCTGCGGCGTGGGCGTGTCCGCTACAGATACACACATACAGATTCCCATTCATACATGTACACAGAAGTGCAGGCGGGAATCGATGAATACGTGCCCACACTTATACACAGAAACATAAATGCAGGCAGGAACAGAAAAGTACGTGCACATCTTCACACTCACACACACACACATATAGCTGCTTGTAACAGGCTCGTACACTCAGCGGCTCACACCAATCCATCACCCGTGATCTATCACACACCGATCGGAAATGCAGTGAATATATTCTCCTAAGTCTGCACTTGAGGCAAATAAAACCATGGCTTTGGCAACAAGGCATTTAGAAAATGTGTTTGGGAAAAGGGGAAGGGAAAAAGAGAAACCTCTGAAAAGCAGGTGAGGGGCCCTTGGCTGGGGGGGGGGGGGCCTGCTGGGTGCTGGGTTTCAGATGAAGACCAGAGGCGTCTCCCCGGCAGCTGAGCGAGCTCCTCCAGCTCCCGCCTGAACCTGGAGATGACTCAGTGTCTCTGACTCAGCCACTTGAGAATGACCTCAGGCCGCTTCGTGTCCAAATGCTTAACTTGGCACCAGATCAGGACAAAGCCCTCTGGGGAAGCCCTGGAGAGGGTGACTTTCCCTCAGCCGTGGGCCGTGGCCATCACAGAGCCTGAGGAGATTCTGGGGAACCAGACAGCCAGTTACTCCTTTGTCTCAAAACACCAGGGGGGTGGCCTGGGCCACCGGCAGTCCATGAGGAAAGGTGACAATATCATTTGCAAGTTTCACCTCACTGGGCACAGGGGCTTTTGGCCCTGATGACAAATAGCCTCAGGGAGAACTGAGTCACTGACGCAGAAGGAGCCCTCCCATCCCCCATCTCCCCGGAAAGAAATTTTTTAAAAAGTTTTAAAGAGGTACTTTGCTGAGAATTTCCCTGCAGAGCATGCCAACAGTTTCTGTAACTGGTTTCCCATCCTCCTAGCCAAGAAGGAGGGCAATCTTTTCATGAACGTGCTTGTTTGTTCGTTTTGGTTTTTTTTAAGGCCTGAACATTGAAGGCAGAGCTGACTTACATGGGGGACTCTACATCCCGCTGTAGCTTAAGAAGCGAGTTATAATTGCATTCTTGAGTTTTGTGTGGTTTTTGTTCTATGGGGTTTTTGTTGTTGTTGTTGTTGTTGTTTGAGGTGAGAGCCCATTCCCGAGCATTTACAATAAACACTAACGTCTGTGGCTCGTGCTGGACTCAAGTGAAAACGAGCAGAACGCCCTGAATGAGCTCGGGAGAGCTCCCAGCCTCCCAGGGCCTCCCGTTCCTCCCAGCGCCCCTCGCGCAGCCAAAATGCCACACCTGAGCCTTGACACTGCCTGAAACTGAAAGAGAAATGAAGACCTGGGGGGGAGGGGCAAAGGTGCCCTTCTGAAGGGTGCGTCCTCATTTACTTGTTTACTTATTTATTTTTAGGTGCACACGGAAGTGTGTCTTCTCCAAAGTCCAGAAGAAGTGGCCTTTCCCGAGAATTGAGCTCTTGAGCTGACATGGCCGCCATGGGGAACACAAAAAACAAACAAAAAACAAACAAACAAAAAACGCCGCTTTCCAGTTCCAGCTGACGACGGTGACTTTTTGACTGACACCCGTAGAAGAATTCATTCAACACCCCGGTGGTCCTCAGCAGCCCTTAGGTCCCCCGTGAAGTCATCATTTTGGGGAAGGGGATGCATCCCCTCAAAAATGCCCCAAAGGGAGGAAAAAAGAGAAAGAAAGTGAAGTTCTCAAGTTTTTGTTGTAAACCCCACCCTCTGCTCTTTAAACAAATTATCGGGCATTGGAACGCACACATGCACGCGCGCACACACACACACACACACACACACACACGGTGGCTGGCTGGTCCTCGGTTGTTTGCAAACAGCCCAGATGTAAATGAGATTCCGAGAGGCTGGAGTCCCCCGGCCCTTGAAACCGCCCCGCTGGCTCCTTCTCAAAGACCCTGGGAGGGAGCCGAGTCCCCACTCGCTGAACAAATGTCGCGTCTCGTGTCAAATAGCCCCAAATGGATCTTCAGCTTTAAAAAAGAATGCAATGGGGCCAGCCTACCTTCCTTCCAGAGCAGGAAGGCGATTTCAATGATTAACTCGCCCAAGGAGCCAATGTGGAGAGTGTGCTCTGCAGACTCAGAGGAGGGGGAAAGGCTCAGCGGTGCCCACCCTCCCAGGTCCCCCCCCCCACGCCTTTTGAAAAGGCAGTTCCCATGGTGAGTGGAATGAGGCTCTTCTGGGGCCTGGATCTCGTCCGCTCTCGCCCTCGCAGTGGAAGTAAAGTGGCCAGGGAGAAAAGGAGTCCCTTACTGAGCAACAACTTCGGGACATTTGTAATTCAGATCTTTAGCGCGGGGCCTGCATGCCTGTCGGGATCCGGCCCTTTGCATAAATCGGTTTTCTGGGGAGTTTAACCCTTTTGCCTCTGTTTGCCTTCCCCAGAAAGCGACTCATTGCAGCCTCTCCATCCGCTGGCCCTTTAACTAGCTGTACAGAGCCACCCATGCAATTTCACCGAAATAAGAGTAATAATAATAATAATAATAATAACAACTTAGGTTATCACACTCCACAGCTTATAGAATGTTTTTTTAATGTGTCGTCTAATTTAAAGCTGTAGGCCCCTAACTGAATTTAATTGCTTCCTTTGTTGCATTTCATTAGGAGGGGCCTGGCTTGCACCTGTACAGCTTCCCCACCCCTCCCCAAAGGACCACCTCTTGCCAAAATGGCCCCCAGCTGCCTTCCTGATAATGCCGGCCATTGAAAGGACACATTACTTAATTTAATCTCGAGAAGGATGTTTGTGTTTCCATCTGGCCACATGGGGGAGTTCCAGGACAGGGGGTCCTGTCTGTAATCTCTGGCCAGGCCCTTTTCCCTGATTGCCAGAATGGGAGGTTGGGCAGAAGCAAGTGTTAAAGAATGTGTTTGTTGATTGACTTTTAGAAAGCAGTCCGTTTCATGAAGAAAACTGAGACAAGGGGGCCAAACTGGGCATGCTCCATCTCCCTCCGTGCTCACGGCAACTCCACAAAGTAGGACTATTGTTGTCCCATTGCCCAGGAAGGGAACTGAGAGGCCGAGCCGCTTGCCCTCTAGTTAGCCGAGCGTGGAGACGTGGGAGGGGAGGCTGGTGAGGGTGCCGTAGATGCTTTGCAACAACATCAACTTAAGTTCTTCCAATCACATTATCCTTCCTTAAGCTTCTTCCAAGACTGGGCTGATCGGCGTGGGAAAACAAACCAACCAACTTTATCTTTGTTGGGGGCGGGCTAGGAACCACAGAAGACCTGGGCCTAGAAGATTCTCAATACATGCCGGCTGCACGGATAAATGCATAGATCAATAGTCTATGGCCACACCCATTGGGAACTGAGCTGCCTCCAGTAGGGATTTATCCTAACTCCAAGTGTCCGGTCACTCTAACCAGACTTCCACCCTCCCCGGGTTGGCCGGCCCAGTGTGGCCCCAATAACAGTCAGCGTCACCTGAGAACTAGGTAAAAATGCAAATTACTGGGCCCCACTCCAGACTCAAAAACGCTGGGGTTAGGACCCAGGTGGTTCTGGTGCAGGAGAAAATTGGAAAACCACGGGTGAGGGTGGAGCTACCGCCTCCCTGACCATCAGCTTAGAAAAGCCAGCCCTGGAGACACGAAGACCACCGTGGACGTGGGACCTGACCCTGGGCCCCGTATTGTGCGTCCTGCGAATTACCTTGTTTTCTGCCCATTTCACAGATGAAGAAACGAAGGCTTGGAAGGGGAAACAACTTTGCCCGAGGGCACACGCGGCGGAGCTGAGGTTGAAACCCAGCCTGGGCTCTTAAAGGCATGTGTTGGTGTTTGTGCGGGAGACAGGCAAGCAGCAAGACAGTGACAGTCCAGTGCGAGAGTGGTCGATGCAGGGTGTTGGGGAACTCAGCAAGTACAGAGAAGAGCCAAAGGGTTCCCAGAGAAGAAGAAGGCAAAAGCAAGTCGTTCTGTGAGGCTGCGGGAGGGTAGGTAAGACGGTGGAGGGTGGCGGGCATCGAGGACACGTGGGAAAGAGCCCTCGGTCTGGTTCAACAACGTTCTCCCAGGCCAGTGAGGAGTCACGGGAGAGATCGGAGCTGGAGAGTGACGTGCCCAGATTTGTACTTCGGTTGCAGGTCGGATCTCATACAAACTCGATTCCACTAGGAGTCACTGAGTGACCTGAACCATCTACTAGGAATAACGAGTCATCATTTCCTTTCTAAGCCTCTTGAAAGAGGCTTAAGAAATGCCCACTCACATGAAATGTCTAAATGGCCT